CTTCCCTCCCTCATCTCCTCCCTGCCCCTCTCTAAGTCCACTGATAAGGGAGGTCCTCCTCCCCTTCCATCTGAACATAGCTTAGCAGGTCTCACCAGGAGTGGCTGCAATGTCCTCCTCTGTGGCCTAGCTAGGTTGCTCCTCCCACAGAGGGTGGAGAGGTCAAAGAGCCAGCCATTGAGTTCATGTCATAGACAGTCTCTGTTCCCCTAACTAGGGAAGCCGCTTGGATAGTGAGCTGCCATGGGCTATGTCCAAGCAGGAGTTCTAGGTTTGTACAGGTTTCTATATTGTGCAACGCCAGTACTCATCATCATGGACCAAATGATTCAAAAATTACTAGACTTCAAGAAATAGTCTTTTGCTGTTGTTTACTAACACAGAGTATATCTTCAGTATTCATTTTCCTTTTTGATATATCTCTGTGACTTACAAATTGCAAAACAATTTGTTAGATAGATAATGTATGTTTCAGAGGTTTTATGATCACAGTTTATAAAATGTTTGACTAACACTTATGTAGTTCATGATGTAAACTATTTAAGTTGTGAAAAAGCATCTTATTTTATTTTGAGTAAAAATGAGAATTTTTCATTATTCTCAGTTCATGTCATTCACCATTTACATATGCTTACATATTTTTGAAAGCATATGTCTAGATATGTAGTGGGATGGGATAATAGCACATTTTCTGGCAGTTATATTCACCTAAAATGCTATTTATATCATGTCTTCCTGTGGTTAGAATCATTGCTAAAACATTTCTAAGGTTGCTAATTCCTAGTAAATATCACTAGATACCTGCATGCATTAATGCATTTCTGAAATAAAATCTTAAATGTGTATCTCCACAGATCTTTTAAAAATGCTGTGGTCTTTAATAGCAGCAATTAATCATGTTTAATTATAAAAATATAACATTTGTTAGTGCTTAGTACACTAGTACACAGTTTTCATATTTTATTATATAAAATTACACACCAATATTTCCTAAATCTTGACATTGAATGTTACTTAATATGTCAAATGTTTGTGTCAATCAAGTCAAATTGACATAGGAATCAAGGAATGAGCAAAAGGAATTTATAGAAATCTAAGTTAATTGTTGAATTTTATCAAAGACATAGAGAAATAAGGACTGAGGAGATGTCTCAGAAGCCAAGAAAGCTTGTCACTTTACTCTTCTAGAAGATTCATCTTGGATTTCTAACATCCAACACCCATGCTGAGCAACTCACAACCATCTGTAACTTCAGAACTAGGAGTATATAATCTGTGAGTTTTGAATATACCCATACTCACATATAACCACACACATACACACTCACACTTAAAATAATAAATAAAATAAATACTAAAAAATTGAGAATTAATATCAATTGTAAGATTTTCATGAAGGAAAAGCAAGAAGAAATTGTTTTGGATTCATTTATTTTAAAATTCATTTATTTATTCTTTTTATGTCCCTATAATAGTCCCTTCCGCCTCTCCTCCTGGTCCCACCCTCCCTCTCTCTCTTCAACTACCCTCTTTCCCCAATTTTTCAAATAAGGGGAGCCCCCTTACTCACCCGCCCAAGCTCATCAAGTCTCATCAGGACTAAGTGCTTCCTGTTCTCCTTGGCCTGGCAAGGCAGCCCTGTCAGGGGGAAGTGAGCAAAAAGCAGGCAACAGAGTCCGGGTCAGAGACAGCCTCCACTCCACTTACTATAGGACCTACATGAAGCCTGAGTTACCCATCTGCTACAGCTGTGTGGAGGGCCTTGGTCAAGTCTATGCATGATTCTTTGTTGATGCTTCAGTATCCACAAGCCCCCTGGTCCTGGTTAGTTGGCTCTTTTGATCTTCTTTTGTAGCTCCTGTCACTTCCAGATCCTTCTGTCTATCTCCCATTTTATTCCTTGAGGTTCCCTGTGCTTTGTGCTATGTTTACCTGTGAGTCTCATCATCTGTTTAGATCCATTGCTGGGTGGAACCTCTTAGAAGACAGCTATGCTAGGCTCCTGTCTTCAAGCATAGTAGAATATCATTAATAGTGTCAGGGGTTGGCTCTCTCCAATGCGGGTCTCAGGATGGGCCATGCATTGGTTCGATATTCCCTCAGTCTCTGCTATGTCTGCTCTATGTTTATCCCTGCACAACTTATAGGGAGGGTAAATTTTGGGTAGAAGTTTTATAGGTGTTTTTGTGTTTCCTTCCCATCACTAGGAGTCATGTCTAGTTATAAGGTGTCCTCTTCAGTCTCTGTGAAACCCCACATCCTCCCAGAAGCTTACCCTGTCTTAGACATCCAGTTTGTCAGAGATGCCTCCACCCAAGCTTTCTCTTCTATTTTGGATTTATTATTTTGAAAAACATGTTTCTTCTTATTTTATGTTTATGGAAGCTTTTCCTACTGTTTCTTCTTATTTTATGTTTATGGAAGCTTTGCCTACACTAGATGAATGTAGTGCCCTCAAACTCAGAATAGGATACAGATGCCTCAGAAGTGGAGTTGCATATACTGTGAGCTGCCATGTGGGTGCTAAGATCAAACTCCAGGTACTCTGCAAGAACAACAAGTGCTCTTAACCTCTGAACCATCCTTCCAGCCTCTTAATCAACTTTTTAAACATAATAAAATAAGATAAAAAATCTAACACAGAATTTTTCAAAATAAACAAAAGGAAAAAGAGGGCACACTTTTTTTGAGAGAACCACTCATTTATGCACTTAGGATTTCTATAAAAACACTATACTGTAAGCCATAATATTATTATGCAGAGGACTTGGTGCAGACTTGTGCAGGACTTGTGCATGCTGCCTTGGTCCATTTGAGTTCATATGGCTTTTAACCATATTGATTTAAAGGGTTTTCTTCTCCTAGTATCCTCTATCCCCCACCCCCTGGCTGTTACCTTCTCTTTCCTTTCTACACAGTCTCCAGAACTCTGAAGGAAGGGATTTGATGGACGCATCCCATTTAGATATATGTGTTCCAAGGTCTCTCAAATTCTGAATATTGTCTGGGTGTGCCATCTGTTGCAGAAGGAAGCTTCTCTGATGATGCCTGAGTAAGACAATGATCTAAGTAATGCAGAAATGTCATTAAGATTCTTTTTTTGTTGTTTTTCCTTTACCTGAACAGTAGTATTTTTTCCCCTATGTTGCTGGCCTCTTTAGTCTGAAGTTCTTTGTCAGTCAAGCAGCAGTATGTATTGCTTACATTTCATGGAGTGGTCTTTAACTGAAATCAAGCATTAATTTTTGCCATGAGGTTTTTGCTTGTTTGTTTGTTTTAACCACGATTTCAGATTTCACTTGCTTATCTTACAGGTAGGTTACTTTTGGCGATCAAAGGGTGTGTACCTGGGTTGTTTACATTTCTCCTTTGGTAGCATGCAAAGTATTTTCCAGTACCATGAATAATAGTCCATAGGGATGAAAGTTGTAGACAGGCACCATCTTGACATTTCTGTGTTCATTGGGTTGGGTTGATGTTGTCTTTCAGCAATAGGTTTTTTCCACCAGTGTGGAAAGAACAACTCGTGGATTGTTTGAGGGTTCCCACGGTACCCCTTTGGTCAACAAATCAATTTGATGCTATTGGTTTCCAGTACTGGAAACGTCATTTGGTCATTAGAAATGTTCAGTTGTGGCTCTTTTTTCCCTGCTATTTGGCAATTTCATTTAGAGTAACTTCAATTATGTTCATATTTTAAGAAGCTTCTACTGTTTTAAGTTTTCACATGATCCCTCAAATGGTCCTAATTTTAGCTATTCTGACATATATTCCCTTACTTTTGCCATCCTCCCTGTTTGACACTCCCATTTCAGTCTTCCTCCCTCATGCATATATAATATGTGTTTTATAATATGGAATGGTGAGCTATATATTATCATAGGAAGATTTGATCAAACTGAGATTAGCACAACTATCTCCTGATAACATTTTTGTGATTAAAATTTAAGAAACAATAATAATACTTTGTGAAATTTTTATTAAAAAAGCAATTATTTTTCTTATTTTTATTACTAGCCTCGATATTTATTTTGTCTATTCTTATGTTATTTTAAAGCATCAATGTTCATTTTCCAGTTTACAAACATAAACTATCAAAATTATACTTATTTTAACCCATGTCTTTTACTAAAATTTGCATGTTATTTAGCAGATCTATAATTCTAACCATAATATGTATTCATAAGTCTTTGTCTTATTGTTATGTGCTATCAGTGTCCTCAAAGGCATAGTTTTTATTGTTCCTTGAAAAAGAAAACAATGTTCCAAAAGTTTTTAAATGAGCAGCTATTTATATTAATCTGTAATTTGAATATCTGTAATTTATATTTATTTTTTTCATCCAAGCATGAATCAATTCTGTTTTACACATGATTTCTTCCTTATATTTAGATACTTTTCACATAATACATTTTTTATTCTAGAACACTTTTATTTGAAATCATACTTGACAAAGTCTTTCATCATTATGTTTTACCTACTTTCATCTGAACAACTGTACATCTTATGCACAGAACTGAAAATATAAAACATTGTATTAAATGCTCATTGCAATTAAAATAATTGTAATTGAAATCCTGAGTGAAACAAACACATAATGGTATATTTTTTTGTGATTGTAACAAATACCATTTTATTTTACTTGTTACTATTGAATTAAATGTATAAATTACTTGTATCTACTTTAAATATCTTCATATATTAAAATACATACACATCTTCAAGAGTGGACTCTTCTTAATATAACATATCCTTTAACTACCATATATGATGTTTCATTTATCTTTCTTCTTACTTTAGAAATGCATATGAGTCGATTCAAAACAAGTTTGTCGTTTAATTACTACTAACGGTAATATTTCATTTAGTGATTTTAATTTAAAACAGCAGTTAGTTAATATGAACATTTATGTTTGTTTTCTAATATTTTTTCTCTCCCTTTTTCTCTCTCTTCTTCACCATCCTCTACCCTTCTCTGTGTTTCCTTCTTTCTTTGTTAGTATACCGTGACCTGACAAACAGTATCTTTGGTGTCGAGACTGGTATGGACTTGTTGTCCGGGACGTATATATTTGCGGTCCTGTTAGCATGTGTCGTGTTTCAGTCTGGCGCCCAGGAGAAGAATTATACGGTCCAAGAAGAAATGCCAGAGAACGTCCTGATAGGCGACTTGTTGAAAGACCTCAACTTGTCTCTCATTCCGGACAAGTCCTTAACCACTCCTATGCAGTTCAAACTAGTTTACAAAACCGGAGATGTGCCATTGATTCGGATTGAAGAGGGTACTGGAGAGATCTTCACTACTGGCGCTCGCATTGATCGTGAGAAATTATGTGCTGGAATTTTGTTGGATGCCCGTTGCTTTTATGAAGTGGAGGTTGCCGTTTTGCCAGATGAAATATTTAGATTGGTTAAGATACGCTTTCTGATAGAAGACATAAATGATAATGCACCGTTATTCCCTGCCACTGTCATCAACATTTCAATTCCAGAGAACTCTGCTATAAACTCTCGATACTCTCTTCCGGCAGCCATTGATCCTGACATCGGAATAAATGGAGTCCAAAACTACCAGCTAATTAAGGTGCGTTTCACAAATATTTTATTTAAAATATTAATTTTCTTGTAGAGTAAAAGATCATTTTGTACTTGTCAGTAAACCATAATCTTGACTTTTCAATGATTATGCGAAGAAAACTAGAAAAAGTTATTAATGTACATTTTGCAATCACACAAATTTTTACAAACCTGCACTGTGTATACATTCCTTTTCAAGTATTTAACAGATATAGGCCAGAGACAAGTTCAGCTCTGTTTACCACTCAACAGATTATCTGCTATATGACTTGGAATCTGTCTAGTCATGGCTCTGTCATGTATTTCACCTAAATACACACATTTAAATGTTAAGAATGACTAGATGAGTCAATTAAATTTTAAATAATTATTTCAGAATAAAAGCTTAATCTTAGAACTTAAAACATGTCAAAATTATGAAAGGTGACTGGGATATTCTTCCTGAGAATTTTGTGCATGTATATAATGAAATATGAGAATATATTTCCCAGATTATGTGACCCTAATTCCTCTCATATCTTCCCAACAAATCCCTATCTAATTTTTTTTATTACTAGAAATTCTGAACATATTAGGAATATTGATTAACATTTTCATGCTGTTTTGAAGTCAAGGCTAGATCTCTAATTATCCTTCCAATCTGTAGAGTGAAAATCAATATTATCCACTATTCTTTCAGTTCCATACATTTTTTTGTTTTGTTTGAATTATTTGGAAACAGAATTCTTATAAAGGCTAGGTTGTTAGCCTAGCCTTTAATGGCTGAGCCATCTCTCCAGCCCAGCATTTGCTACTATAAAAAAAATAAGTACTTTAAAAAAAATCAGTTAATCTAAAGAAATTTGGCTTGATTTGAGTCTTGTGATAGGAAAACAATGCAAAACGTGAATAAAATGTTGCATGTTCATTGAAATGGCACAGAGGTCTCACCAAGTGCATGGGCAATTATTTTTAATTACTGGGAAGCTTTGCAGAATAGTTGAGAGCTCAGGTATTGGTATGTAAAATAACGAAATATACTTAGTGTTCTTTATACATTGAACACATTTGCAAATATCATTGATATAGATAGGATACTCAAAAGTTACAAGTGTTTTCAGATTATGGACTACCAGAATGCAACTGACATTATGAATAATGTTCAAAACTACTGAAAGAACATATATTTCATTTTTGATGGTTATAATCCATATATTTTGATCCAAGGGATAGATAATATGGGTAAATTGCTTAACTGATCTCATGTTTTCATAATGTGCACTATAAGGAAGTTGAAAACTACAGTCTTCTCAAGTGAATCCAACTACTACACATGTGAGTGTATGAACGAATTCTAAAGAGAAGGATTTATTTGCAATAGGAATAGATGGTTTAGATGCTTTGTAAGTAATAATTTTAGAATCAATCTCTCAATGATGTTTACTTCTTTCATGTATTGGAAACAATACAGGAAAGATATTGATCAGAATTTGAGCACATTTCTTTTCACTTGTCAACCCATTTCTTAATAAAGGTCCTACCTCTTATCTTTTCTCTTTTAAAAAATAATACGTTGATTGTGCAGTATTTTTAAAAGACCTGAAGTATGAAGAATAAGCACTAAGCATAGGGCACAAAAGCACGAACAAAATGATTTAGAAATTGAAATAGTGGTTTGGTATGAGGTCTTCCCTTTTCTGAGGATAATGGAAGGGGTAAAGAGGGAAGAGAGTGAGCTTGTGGGACCAGAAGAAGAGAAGGAAAGGGGCTATGCTTAACAAATTTAAATTAAACCACCCTGCTGGGATGATTTTAGCTTTGTTGAAATATGTTTGTATTCACTTGACCTTTCTTAAAAATGTCACCAATAAATAGAAACAGTCTTTTTATAAGATTTTCAATAACTTTTTAGAAATGCAGTATACAATTTCTTTTTGCTTTAAATATGATAAAACTAAATAACTATACATTGTACCTAAAATTCCTAAGTATTTAAAAAGGATTATGAACAAATACTGTTTAGGGTGATTGTAAAAAATAATGAGAGTTGAATACAAAGCATTCCCTCTGACATACAAATGGCTGTGACATGGGTGACATTAATTGAATGCACTTTGACTTGCAAAAGTGTCTTATCATAAAAGTGGCAAATATTCTGTGGGAGAAGTAGCTTTAAAAAATTTCATAAATTTCAGTCAATTTTACTGTTTGAAAGTAAATAGACCAACAATAACACTTTTGTGAAAACTTGATTTATTACAGCATAGGTTGAGATTTAAGTAGGGTTAATCTGATCTAGTTTTATTGAAGGCCAATATAGAAAAATTGTATTTGATTATTATTAGGGTAATGTATAAATATACTTAAAGGTGAAATAACAAAGAGAAAACATAGAAAAAATCTATGGATAATTAAGACAGTTTACAATTTCATACCACATAACTGAAATTAAAAGTTAAGCTATTTATGTGCTGGTCTAATTGGATGTCTACATGTAGAAAAATAAAAATAGAGCTGTATTTATCATCCTACACAAAGTTAAAGAACAAATGGATCAAAGACCTCAGCATAAAACTAAACACACTAAATCTGTTAGAAGAAAAATTTGGGAAGTGTCTTGACCTCACTGGCACAGGAGACAACTTCCTGAACAGAAGACCAACAGCACAGGCTCTATGATCAACAATTAATAAACGGGACCTCATGAAACTGAAAAGCTTCTGTAAATCAGAGGCCACTGCCATCAGAAAAAAATGACAGCTTACAGACTGGGAAAGGATCTTCACCAACCCTATATCTGACAGGGGGCTAATATCCACATTATATAAAGAACTCAAGAAGTTAAACACCAACAAAGTAAGTAATCCAATTAAAAATTAGGGTACAGCAGTATGCACCATATCTGAGAAGCAGAGGATCCAAAAGCTGAAATTGGAAGTGAGAGACAGCTGAAACTGGAACATCTACATTGAGGCTTCCTGGGCAAGAGGGGACAGCATGTGAGCTGAGACCATTTAGATCCAGGTCACCCATGGACTTCTCTGGGGACAGCGAGTGGCAAACACTAAATCCCCCCGCACTTCCCCTTGTAGGGCCTCCCTCCTCTTCGGTTGAGCAGGCGAACAGTGCCTGTGGCTCATAGCACAGAACCCACTGCCTGGGGACTGAGCGGCAGCTTCCAGCTCTACCAACCTTGCAGGTCCCAGGTCCAGTGTAATAACCTTCTGGGTCCCGAGTCCACGGTACCAGGCTTGCTGTTCTCACCTCTGTGAGCAGCTATACAGCACCGCAGGGCATCCCAACCAGTGACTGTGTTGGCTATTCAGCTCCTCATTGGTGGGCAGTCAGCATTACGGGACACCCAGTTCCACCAGGGCCTCTGAGCCACCCTGGTCCATGGATGGCTGTAGGGGGTCCTCAGAGCTTCCCAGCAGCAATCTGTACCTGCGTTCCAGTTCAGCTTCTGTGGCTGGATTCCCAGTGAACCACTTTAACAGACTAAGTTCTGTGGATGCAGCAACACTGAGCAGAAAACGCCTGCATTTATCCCAACAGGCACAAATCTGATAGTAGAGAACAGGGGGAACCACTGTGCTTTCAGATTAGAACTGCTAGAGAGTGAGTGCACCATCAAGTGAGTGCATGCAGAACCCCAGATCCAGGGTTCCTCTGCAGTAACAGCCAGACATTGGATCTCTCCCACTCACACACCCACAGTGTGCAATGTAGAGATTCTTGGGGCAGCATCCTCAATATTGTTGGCCCTGTTCAAGCAGGTCTACTAGTCCAGTCCAGGCAAACAACTACTGGAGCACAGACAGCGGTGAATACCAGTGGCCTCTTTGCCACAGAGGTATTCAGGGAATCTGCATGCTCATTGTGCCAACCACAACCCCTCCTACACCTGCACCACCCTCTGTCCCACATTCCAGGCATCAACACTTTCTAGCATCCTGTTTTTGTTTTGTTTTGTTTTGTTTTTTGATAAATCATTTTTGGTAAATCATGGTTTCTATGTAGTGGACTAATTTTGAGATCATATTTGCAACTTTTTAAAAAAATTTTATTAATTACACTTTATTCACTTTGTATCCCCCCATAAACCCCTCCCTCTTCCCCTCGAAATCCCACCTTCCCTCCCCCTTCTCCACACATGCCCATCCACAAGTCTACTGATAGTGGAGGTCTTCCTCTCCTTCCTTCTGATCTTAGTCTATCAGATCTCATCAGGAGTGGCTGAATTGTCATCTTCTGTGGCCTGGTAAGGCTCCTCCCACCTAATGGGGAGGTGATCAAAGAGCAGGCCAATCAGTTCATGTCAGAGGAAGTCCCTGATCCCATTACTATGGAACCCACTTGGACACTGAACTGCCATGGTTACATCTGTGCAGGGGTTCTAGGTTATCTCCATGCATGTTCCTTGGTTGGAATATGAGTCGCAGGAAAGACCACTGTGCTCAAAATTTTTGGTTCTGTTGCTCTCCTTGTGGAGTTCCTGTCCTCTACAGATCTTACTATTCCTCACTTCTTTCATAAGATTCCATGAACTCTGCTCAACAGTTGGACATAAGTCTCAGAATCTTTTTTGATAGCATTCAGGGAAGAGCCTTTCAGAGGCCCTCTGTGGGAGGCTCCTAACTTTTTTCCTGTTTTCTTCTTCTCCTGATGTCCATCCTCTTTGACTTTCTGGATGGGGATTGAGCATTTTAGCAAGAGTTCTCCCTCTTGATTAGTTTCTTTAGGTGTGCAGATTTTAGTAGGTTTATCTTATATGTCTATATGAGTGAGTATATACCATGTGTGCATTTCTGCTTCTGGGATAGCTCACTCAGGATGATCTTTTCCAGATCCCACCATTTACCTGCAAATTTCACAATTTCCATGTTTCTCATTGCTGAGTAATACTCCATTGTGTACATGTACTACAATTTCTGTATCCATTCCTCTGTTGAGGGACATCTGTATTGTTTCCAGCTTCTGGCTATTACAAAAAAAAGCTACTACAAACATGGTTGAGCAAATGTCCTT